GGGTTAGATCTGATAGAGGTGGTGAATATGGATCTAATTTCTTAAAAGATATTTGTGAAAAGAATGACATAATTCATGAAACTTCAGCCCCCTATTTTCCTCAACAGAATGGTATAGCCGAAAGAAAAAATAGAACTTTAAAAGAGATGATGAATTCTTTACTAATAAGTTTAGGGTTATTTGATAACAAGTGGGAGGAAGCCATTCTATCGTCAACTCATATCTTGAACCGAGTTCCTCATAAGAAATTAGATTCTACCCCATATGAATTGTGGAAAGGATACACTCCTAATTTACAATACCTGAAAGTGTGGGGATGTCTGGCTAAAGTGGGTTTGCCAGACTTTAAGAAGTATACCATTGGACCTAAAACTATTGATGCAGTGTTTATAGGGCATGCTACGAATAGTGCTGCATACAGATTCATGCTTTTACAATATTATTCTATTTGTGAGTCAAGGGATGCTGTTTTCTTTGAAAATACTTTTCCTTTAAAGGAACCGAGAATAAATATTGAAACACAAATAGAAAATATTCCATCAACTTCTTCTAGTAATCCTGCTAGGTCTTCTGAACAAATTGATTTTGAGCCTAGAAGAAGTAAAAGGCAAAGAGTTGAAACCTCTTTTGGACCAGACTTTATTACTTCCTTTAGTTATGAGATAAATGATTTAGACTTCATTTCAGATCTTATAGCTCAAATTTTTCTGTTAGATGAGGATCCTAAAACTTTTGAAGAAGCTATAAGATATATCGATGCTAGTTTTTGGAAAAACGCTGTTAATGATGAACTAGAATCGATAATGTCTAATCATACTTGGGAATTAGTTGACTTGCCTAAGGGACTCAAACCAATCTCCAACAAATGGGTCTTCCGGAAGAAACTAAGGCCAGATGGTTCGATTTAGCGGTACAAGGAAATGTTAGTCGTCAAAGGGTTCACTCAAAGGTTTGGTTTAGACTACTTTGATACATACTCTCCCGTTATAAAAAATCTCAACGATTCGTGCATTATTTGCACTAGCCTCTATTCATAAGTTACAGGTACATCAAATGGATGTTGAGACTGCTTTCTTGAATGGAGATCTAGATGAGGAGATTTACATGGAGCAACCACTAGGTTTTGAAGCACCTGGTATGGAAGGCAAAGTCTGTAGACTCAAAAAGTCACTCTATGGACTTAAGTAGGCTCCTAAACAGTGGTATGAGAAATTTCATAAAACTATTCTTAGTTTTGGTTTTGTTATGAATGGTTCAAATGCTTGTGTGTATTCGAAGATGTTTGACACTGAATGTGTTATCATAAGTCTTTATGTTGATGACATGTTGATTTTCAGTTCTAACATTGAGTCTATTAACAAAGTTAAAAATTTCTTGTCAACTAAGTTTGGGATGACAGATTTAGGAGAAGTAGATGTAATCTTAGGAGTCAAAGTTACCAAAATTGAGAAGGGATTTTCTTTATGTCAAGCACATTATATAGAGAAAATGCTAAAGAAATTTGACAGTTTTGATGTCGTCCCTGTTCGAACTCCGTATGATCCTAACATACATCTAGTTAAGAATAAAGGAAGTAGCATTTCCCAAATTGAATATGCTAAATTAATTGGGAGCTTAATGTTCTTAATGAACTATACTCGGCCTGATATTGCTTATGTTGTGAGCAGACTGCGTAGATATACTTATAATCTAAGTGGTGAGCACTGGATTGCTCTTAAACGCTTACTGACGTATCTTAAGGGTACTTTGGATTGGAAACTTGAGTTTGTTGGCTTTCCTGTGGTACTAGAAGAATATATTGATGCCAACTGGGTTTCTGATAATAATGAGGTAAGCTCTACGAGCGGGTATGTTTTTACTTTGGGTGGAGCAACAATCTCGTAGAAATCATCAAAGCAGACTTGTATTGCTCGTTCTACCATGAAGTCAGAGTTTATAGCTCTTGACCTAGCTGGGCAAGAAGCCGAGTGGCTCAGAAGCTTGTTAGCAAATATTCCGTTGTAGGGAAGACCGACTCCTCCAGTTTCATTGTTGTGTGATTCACAAGCTGCGATATGTGTGGCTAAGAACCAAGCTTACAATGGTAAGAAAAGACACATTCGCATAAGACATGAATCAGTTAGACACTTAATAAAGAATGGAGTGCTCTCTTTAGAGTATGTGAAGTCGAAAAGGAACCTAGCAGATCCGCTTACCAAAGGGTTGAGTTGGAAGCTGGTCCTAGATTCGTCGAGGGGGATGGGTCTCAAGCCCATTGGTTGAGGAATTCATGGTGGATACCCAACTTAGTTAATTAAGTTCCATGTGGTCAAACGAAACCATGGAAAGACTCATAGTGCAGATTCCTACTTCCTATCCCTATGACGAATAATATGCATGCCCAGGATGAGCTTAAGTACTCTTAATAAATTCATATCCCAGGCTTTGGGTGGTCTTAGTGAGAAAGACTTGATGAATTTACCGATTTTGGATGAATATCTATTCTTAATAAGTTCATAACCCAATTTGAGTGGGTATTCCTAAGTGAGAAGGAAATAATGAACTTACCAACAGAAAGGTTGAGTTTGTTAAACTCTTAATAAATTCAAATCAAAGTATTTGGATGGTTCTAATGATAATGACTTATTGAATTTACCGATAAATGAGGTTGAATATTTATTCTTAATGACTTCTTAGCCTAGAGTTTGGGTGGTTCATTTATAATGAACTTGAAAAAAATCACCATACTCTTTGTGAGGTTAAGCTTTTATAAAAGCTCTTAATTATTTTATATCCATGTTAAGGGTGGTTTATATCGAGATAAACTTGATGAAATAACCTATGTAAGTGATAAGGGTTAGCCGCCTTCTATGAAAAATGTTGGGCCATTTTTCTAGCACACTTACTAGAATCCTGAGGTAAGATGGCCAAATATATACTTTTGTATATATATATATCTTACACACATCGAGGACTCAGGTGGATGAAGGGGTTAGTTGTGTGTTATGAGTTTACCCCCATCTTAGAAAGTTCCAGACTAGTTTCACTTATCTAAGAGAAGGATTGCTCATTATCACTATGTACTAGTTCCAGATACGTTCACTAGTGCTTAAGCAACTAATCTCGCTATTGCTCTTCTGGAAAGTTTGTTTTCGAGTTTCAGAAGAATTCTTTCGCATTAGTGGGGGAATGTTGGTAATGATCAATCTCACATAGTATTGGAAATACTATTGGGAATAGGTATTTATGGTTTGGATTTCTCACTTCCTTGTTGAGTGAAAGAGAACAAGGGGACTCTCGCGCACCGCCGCTGCCGTCGTCCGTCTCGTCTCGTCTCAGCTCGACACGGCTTGGAACGGCTCGACTCGTGGTAATACGTGTCTTCGACACGTCCACGCGGATACTATCTTTTTAGAGAAAATTCTTGAGGAATTTCTCTTTGAAAGAAACAAATGGAAAAATGTGAAAGATTTCAACTGATATTTATAGGCTGCTGAGGACTGTTTAAATTTAAATGATAACAGCTGGTTTATAAGAGTTATCATAAATTAAACAGCTTTTCTTAAATTAAATCAAAAACGTTAAGATGTATCTAGCTGTTAATATCAGGAGTTACAGGAGTTATTTGATTTAATTTCAGGGGTTACATGATATAAATTTCGGGAGTTATAACAGTTGAATAATGATGCAATGAACCTAGATTATTTCTGAGTCAAGTTCATCTAGACGTTTCAGCTGTTACAAAGAAGAGATTTAATCCTGAAATTTTATGGACGATTTTAACCCTATTTCTAGCCTATAAATAGAGAGCTATATTCAACTTCTCAACTCACTCTCAACATTTCAGAATTCACTCTCCAAGTGTTTTCTAAAGTTCTCTCTGTGTGCTTTCCGATCAGAAGTGCAATACCATCAACATTCCACTCCAGTTTCGGGTGTACAAAATTCAGAGCAACCGTGTTAACCTCGGGGGACGGTCCGCCTACTACAACGATTACACACATTGGGGCGAATTCGTTTCTAAGGCAGTGATTATACCACGACACAGTTTACCAATTTGTTCTTTTTCAATTATTGTTTATCTTTCCTGTCAGTGCTAACGGTGTGGTTTTGCAGTCTATTTTACCAACAAAAATAAACAAAATATAACTTTTTCATTCAAGTTCGGTTCATTTTCGTCCTAACAACAAGTTGGGATCAGCAAATACATGAAGTTCTATTCTCTCCAATTTTTACCAAATATTCTAAAGTTGTCTACACTTCTCTTATAAATAAAAAATAAATAAATGGCCAACAGTGGCAGAGCGGTGAGGATGTGAACGTCCCCACCCTGAAAGTTTTCGTGTCCACCCTAAAATATGAGTTTTTTTCTATTAGTTACTTATTTTACTAACGGTGCCCACTCTAAAATTTTATTTATACCCATCCCATTTAAAAATTTTATGTTGTTAATATATGTTTGCCTAGCCTAAAAAATATTTCTGATATGCCACACCAATAATCATAAAGCTTATGAAAAACATGCCCTAGGCTAATTCATTGCCCCATCTACTTGAATTGAAGTCATCCATTCTGTTTTCCTCATCATGTTAAATGCAGAAAATGACATCCATGATGAGAAATAACTGTGAACAATTGACAAATTTATCATTGGATAGGGGAAAAACCACATTATACATCATAAAGATGAACTCTCAAATGGTATACAAGAAAGTTCAATGCAGATTCTCAGTGACACCTGAATAATGCACCAAGGTATCATTTTCAAGCCGTTACATCATGCAAAAACATGTTTCCTTGAGAAATCTAAAACTCAAATCAAAGGACAAGACCCCAAAACATAAATATTGCCAACCAAATCAAAATTTTCTAAACTCAGAAACAAGACCAAAGGTGTGTCAACCATGCATTACATTTTTAAACTGCGAATAGAGCAATTGGAAATTGCAAGATTCAGCAGCACAGCAGATATGTGCAAGTATAGAAGTAGAGAACACATAAAACTGAACAGTTGAATTGATTTTGATGAAGCAAATCCATATGATAAGATTACAAACAGGGGAAAGTTCTCTTGGATCACCCCAGATTCTTCCTATACAATCCAATTCAATAACAATTTTATCCAATTTTTCTGTGCTTCTTTCCCTCGATTAAATCTAATGAAGAAAACAAGAAATTTATAGTAAATGATAAAGGAAAATAAGAAGGAAAAGAAAAGAAAAGAGGCGGCACCAGTGTTTGTGGCAACCAAAAAGAATCACATTCTTTGTTTTCCAACTTATGCTGTCAATGTGCTGTAACCTTAGATCTCTTCTTTGCTTCACTGTAAAGCACAACTCCCATAACCGTAACGGCGAACCCGATTATCCCCATGACGGTCACCGGATTCCTGAAGACCAAAATCGACACGAACGCGGCCAATGCAGCTTTGGCATTGCCTAAGACCTGCAAAGTAAGGGCACTTGTATGCTTGGTAACCAAGAAATTAGTCAAATTCACCAAATAGGCCACCGTAGCATTCCCAATCAATAAGAAAATGATAAACGAATCACTCCTGGCTTTCTCAGCCGTGACCCTTGCAACATTCCCTTCAATATAAAGAGAAAATGGCAACAAAATCAATGCAGCCATAGGTGCCATATACAACAACAAGTTCATGGAGTGTAGCTTCTCGGTTTCATTAGTTAACAAAATCCCTTGGACCACAGATTTCAAAGCACGACCAGAAGTGGAACCAATGCAAACCAAAAACCCAAACAAGTTAAACAAAGGCTCACTGTTGGTGGCCAAAACAATCCCAAAAACCACAGGCAAGAGTGCAAAATAAACCTCAGCGGATTCCTTCTTGCAAGTGATTAAGAAAGCGAAGATGGCGGTGAAGAAAGGAGTGGTGGCGCCAATAGCTTGGTTAAACGAAACGGGGATGTACCTTAAGGAAGTGTTCCCACAGACCACGGAGAAACAGAAGATGAGACACAAAGCCAAGATCTTGAGGAACTGCTTCCTCGACAGAATGTTTTGCCTTGGGACTATTTGAATGAAGTTTATGGACACGTAGCTGTATGAAGCGCATGAAAGCATGTGAAGCATGGTGAGGAAGATTGGATAACGGTAGCCATAAAAGCTGAGGAGATACTTGTTGAGCAAAAGCACGCCGATGTTGGACATGAACCATGAGGCGATGATCAGTACCGTTAAAAGGTTAGGAGAGAGACGGGATCCAACGGCGTACGTGCTGTTCTTAAGTTCAGCAGTTGGGGTTGCCGGAATGTCCAGAACCTGGTCGTCGGCAGTAGTCACGGTTGAGTCCAGTCTTGGATTGCTCATCCTCCTTGTCCATGTCTGCGCTTCCACCATTTGGGATCACAGTAAAGATACCAACTTTGAGCTCAAAGATTCAATCTTTTTTCCAAGAAAAAAGAAACAAGAGGAGAAGAAAGAAATTGTTTTCCCCTTGTGTGGCTGGTTAGATCGAAGGGGGTGAAGGGAGGAGGTTATGGTCAGGAGGTGATCTGATCGGAGGGTGAAGATTAAGATTTCAGAAAATGGAGAAATGTGAACCTTTGGATTGGAATAAAGGATGATGGAGTGAATTTAGATGCAGGGGAAATGTCGATGATTGATTCAGTATTAAGACACCCACAAAGATTTTTTGTTCTCCCTTTTTTATCACCATTAAGCAAACAAATCAAAGCTTAAAGTTCAATTATAGGTTTAATTCATGATTTGCCTCAAAAACTATATCTCTTTTATCATTTTAGTCCAACATTATTATTTATGTTAAAATATAGGCTAAACTACTATTTAAACTATCAGTTTTATTTTTTAGTAGCTAAATTTTTATTTGTTTCAAAATCATACTTAATATTTGTTTTTTTGTTGTATTTTAGTATTCATCGTTAATAACGTAACGAGATTGTTGCACGCGACATTTTTATGGGTAAATTACACTATCACTTAACTATCTTCTATTCCTATTTTGGTCACTAATATTTAAAAAAAAATCAATTTAACTATTCAACTTTCAAATTACTCATGTTTTAATCACTTTAATTTATTTTATTAATATTTTTCTGACATGATATTTTTATTATTTTATTATAAAATTAAAATAAAAAAATAAATTTAAAAATTAGAATGATTAAATTAGGAGTAATTTGAAAGTTAAGTAATTAAATTAAAACAACTAATCTTTAATGATCAAAATAGGAGTGAGAAGATAGTAGAGTGATGAATGATGTAATGTACCCATACAAAAATAGCATTTAACGGCGAGATACCAAAAAGAAATAAAAAGTAAACGTTAGGTATAATATTAAAATAAATAAAAGTTTAAGTACTAAAATAAAATAAAATTGATAATTTAGATACAGAACGTGTAATTTACTCTAACGATAGTGATATGTAAGTATTAAAACATCTCACGTGATACCTTGAATTAAAAATAAAATGATAAAACGTTAAGCCATTACAAGTGAAGAGAAAGTATCCAATTCCAGCAGGGGAATTGCTTCGGTTATTAGACCCAGTGAGCTTGGATCTACAGTTCTGGCGAGGAAGCCAGCAGATTAATTTCGTTCCTGAGGAATCCATACAACACCAGTAGTCCATCCGCTGCATCTAAGAGCATCGATATATCTAACGAGTGACAGGAGATTATAACTCGCGTTCGTATCGTTCACCAGGTTTACAGCGTCAGCACAATCAGATTGGATCTGCAGAAATTCAAAGCCTTCCTTCTGGGCATACTAACACCAATGAAAATCACCCAAAGCTCAACTTGGATAACGGAGGGTAGAATTATAACAATAATTGAACGGAGGGGCAAAATTATAAATTTATTATAATTGATGTTGAACTTTTATTTTATTTTTATTTTTTATAAGTACATGCCTGAAAATTTGTCTCTATTTGTTTTTCAAAAAATATTTTTAATATTAATTAACATTTAAAAAAAATCTTCATCCATTATCACTCTTTAACCCATTTACAAAACCTGAAATATGGGATTATGACAAATTTGTTTTTCATATTAATAATTCATTGCCTCGTTTATCATATTTGTTTAATTTTACATATTTTGCATATTGAGGACTATGTGGGTTGCATAGGGCTGAATTTGATTTTTGTTGTTGTAAAACTATTACACTGATGTCGTAGCATTGCAAGATTCTTGCAGCATAAGGAGAGCTCACTGTGTAGCATCAGTAGTCAGTAGATTGCCATTCAAAGTTTTCTATTGAGAGAGAGTGTTTTGGATGCTTTTATAAACTTTATCGATGATATTTTGGATTGATTTATTTTATGTTTATTTTGCTATTACTTTTATGTGCTTATTGCTTCATAATTATTAGTAGAAATAGTAGAGATTAAATGTATGGTAATTTCAATTATTTTCTAGAAATAGATTTGGATGATTTCTTGTGCACTCTTGATAGCGTTGGTATTGTTGAGTAGCAATGTGTGTGTGTTGAAAATCATACATCCAATCGTTAGCTTTGTTAATACTTTGAAACCTTTAATTAATAAAAGTTATTAGAGTAGTTCAAACGGTCTTAATCGTTGCTAATCACATAGATATAGTATGCTTTGTTTACTTAAAGTGTGATGATCATAATATCATTTCTTGTGATTTGATAGTTGGCTTAATGCTCTTTGTATTGATGTATCATGATCTGGTGTTTCTTACCTTGATTTTACCTCCTTAACTTAGCATCTTTTTCATACCATCGTTCTTTAATACTTAAAACTCTAATGAAGATCATTTTGCTCCATGTGGATTCGATACTCGTAGCTCTTTGAGCTACCACTTATTACTTGGGCATTGATGTACACTTGCACTTAAGCTTTTGAATTTTACCAAGTATGCCTATGAACACTTTCAGCAAACTTTTTCGAGCAAATATACATAAGAAGCTTGAACCATTCTAGAAGACAAGGCTTAGGATTCCTTAGTGGCCTTACCAATTATCCCCATTATAGCTTGTTTGTGTGAGGTTGTCAGGTTATCTTATTTATTCTGAGATTCTCAATTTAATTTTCCTTAGCATTATTGAATTGTTACTTCCTATTTTGCCACAACATTTCACACCCTATACTTGTCATATTACTATTTCATTTCCACCTTCATACATTCCATTTTGCCACAGCATTCCCAATTGTTTATACCATCACATAGTTATGCATTATGATATATTTTAGTGCATTAACTTAACTTAGAAATTCCTCCAATCCCTGTGGAGACGATACTCACTTACTATCATATTACTTGTTCGATTGTGTATACTTGCACACTTTGTTTGCCATATTATATTACACTTACACACGTAACAAGTTTTTGGCACCATTTCCGGGGATTAATAATTGGTCTTTTTAAGTTTAGTGATTGCACTACTTTATTTTTTCTTTCTTTGTATAGACTAACTTGTTTTTTTTTAACTTTTTTTTGTTAGGAATTATGTTATTTCATGATAGAAGAATAGTTGAGGAGCCCTTGTATCCTCTCGTACTTGAGATTGAACACTTAATTCGTTAGAGACGATGTGTTCAACGTGCTCATAGAGCCATTTATGGTGTTCAAAACCAAGGAGTTCAACAAGTTTAAGATCCTGCGGATCCAAACACTGTAATAAGTCAGAATGATGGACTTATAGCTCGACCTAGAGCTATTCAACTTAGCTCCTATATTGGGTGATATCAACCCTGGGATTGTAGCTCCTGAGATTCAGGCAACCCATTTTGAGCTTAAACCATTCATGTTCATCATGTCGAACTGGATAGGACAATTTGGTAGCATGCCTCATGAAGATGCAAGGCAACACATACGTGCATTCTTGGAGATTTGTGATTCTTTTAGGCAATAAAGAGTGTATGAAGATGTGTTGAAGCTTAAATTATTTTCTTATTCTTTGTGTAATCGAGCAATAGGTTGGCTTAGTGGATTTTCATTCGGCTCGATGAAATCTTTGGCTGATTTTATGCAAATGTTTTTTACTACTATATAATCTGCCTAACATGAACACTCAACTTATAAATGAATAGCATATTTCTATCAAGCTTATAACGAGTCTATGTATAAATGTTGGATTGATACAAAGGATTGTTTCGCAAGTGCACCAACATGAATTCCATTATTGGACACAAGTGGTGATGTTTTATAATGGAGTGAATCTTCCCACACATATGATGTTAGATGCTTCAACAAATGACACTTTACTAGATAAGTCTTCTTAAGAGGTATTTGATATCCTAGATAGGATTTCTAATAATGATTATTAGTTTTCCTCTTCAAGGCTAGGAATAGGGAGGAAGGCCCCGAGGACATTTGAATTAGATGATAAGGATTCAATGCCTGTCTTACTCTCCGCTATCAGAAATATGTTGAAAAAGTGCAACGTTCCAGTGAGGTAAAAGAAATGAATATGGCCAGCTCAGCATGTGTTTTATGTCTGGCAATCACAATGAGAGTGAATGACCCGACAATCAAGAGTCTATCAATTATGTGGGAAATTTCAACAGAGGCAATAACAACCCCTACTTAAATACATACAACCCAGGATGGTGTCAGCATCTTAATTTCTCTTGACATAATTAAGGAACCAACAATGCCAATAACTCGAATCGCCAACAAAAAAATCTGACTAAACCCCCAGGTTTCCAATCAAATATGCCATGAAAACATACCAACAAGGGTTCAACATCTTCAACGAATACTAACTCTTTAGAAGCTACTCTCCATGATTTTATGGAAACTACAAATGCCTTATTACAAGATTACTCAGCATCTATTAAGAGCCAAGGAGCATTATTGAAAAGCCATAGCTTATCTTTGAGAGTATTGTAAAACTAAGTGGGTCAATTTGCTACAGTGTTATATGCACGCCCACAAGGCAGTCTCCCAAGTGATACCAAAGTCAGTAAGCCTCATGGAAAGGAACAATGTATTGCATTCACATTAAGAAGTGTCACTCAGCTTAATCAAGGAGATATGTTTGGGGGGAAAAAAGACGATCCTATTTTGAAGCATATACAATAGGAACTTGAGTTGCAAGAAGTACTTGTGGAGAAGAACAAGGATGAGGAAACAAAAAAATTGTAGGAAACAAAAATGGTACAACAAAAGTTTTTCCCCCACCAACAATGGAAGAAGTTATACACCTACTGCTATTCCCTCAAAGATGAAGACGTATAATGATGACCTTCAGCTCAAGAAGTGGACATCCTTAACCAGCTATATACCAATTTCCCACTCTTGGAATCCATTGATAAGATTCCCACATATGCTAAATTTCTAGAAAAAAAATTGTCACAAAGAAAAGAAAGGTTGAGAAGTACGAGACTGTTGGTATAACAAAAAGAGTATTGCTTCGTACTGAGCAAGCTGCCACCAAAGAGAAAAGATCCTGGCAGCTTTATAATTCCTTGTTCTATACGAGACAACTATGTTAGAAAAGCCCTATGTAATCTTGGA